CCCCCGGTCGGAGGGGAAGGACCGGCCCCTTGTGAGCGGCCTTGAACTGCGGGGTTTGAGCTAAGCACGGAGACAGCGGCCTCGTGTCCTTCCACACCCGCCCGTGCCTCTGTGTAAGCGCAGGCAGCTGTTTTGTAAACCAAGAGGCTGCCAAGAGGTCGGGTTCTACTTCAAGGCGGCCTGAAGTCCTGCTGGAGCTGCTGCTCTGAGAACAAGACGCTTCGCAACCGCCTCCAAACGTTCGGTAACACCGGGACGTTATACCCAAGAAAGAAACGCGGTAACAGAAGAGATTGTCTTTTTATTTTAGAAAAAAAAAAAGTGGAGCTGTGCACAACAGAAGAGGCTAAAGCTGGATTTAAATGCAGCCAACAGATCTATGCCAGTACAGACAGCAAGGAAGCAGAGCTTGGCATTCCTGTTTGAACCATGCTGGTACAACTAGCACTTTGCAAAACAGTATAAAATGAAGTTACAGAAAGCTTTAACGATATAAAACAGACCTGGTGTCTTTTAACTGTAGTTCAGAGTAACATTTCCAGCTTCCCTTGCCAATCTGAAGATGCGTACAGAGAACAAATGAACGAGGGTTGAAGTAAAATAGCACCAGTCTTCTGTGGTATGGAAATGGGATAGCTCGACACTTTCTCTCCCCCCCCTTCCACCATTCTAAAATCAGTTTTCATGTTGTAAAATTCAGCATTTCAAGCTTAGGGAAATCACAGCAGAGAAGCTGCTTCAAGGCTGCTCCAATGTGCAAGTGCTACATTTTGCAGGAGACTGAAGTTTACAAGCCAAAGTTGCCTCTTCTGAGCATCACAATCTAATCACTGCTTCTCCTTGTCCAAAGATACTCTCAGTAAACATCTATAACCTCTGCCCAGGGCTGCACCCAAGGTGCACAAATGAGTAGCCTTCAAATGTCACATGCCTGCCCCCAAACATGTGCACACACATGACTTAAAAGCCATCACAGTTTCCTTCCACTTTAAAAAAAAATGATACAAGATTTGGTAACTAAACATCAAAAGACTAGTTAGTCTTAAAGAGTTATTTACTTCTCCTGATATATTCAGATACTAATGAGCTGTCTTTCTTAAACTGGAAAATTATGCAGAACCTTTGCAGCGCAAAGTGCTTGAAAACACTCATCACAGATGTGCTTTGTGTAACTTTCAGCCCATTCTTTGAGACCTCCTTGGATATTGATGCTTCCCCTAAGTCTTACACATTTGCGTCTTCTAGCAATCACACTTGAAAAACATCCTTTGGGATATCATAGCTCACTGAGACAGGAGGGGCTCCTTTTTTTCATCACTTCTTTAGCAAGAAGGAAGAAAGGAAGAAAAATCTCAAGTTGAAGGGTAAAAAAAAAAAGAGAATGATTGGGGATCAATTAGAGGGAAGACCTAAACATCAACCACCACTTAAGAAAAATCAATGTACAGCATCTTCTGTCAAGCTTAACAGATTCTCAAATTACTATTTGCTACTAATCACAGTCACTATTTTACCTACTTTTCAATACATAGTCAAGTATTAGGACCTCATTAAGTATGAAAAAGTCCTCTAAAATCACCAAAACTACTTGCTTACACTTCAGGGGAGTGTGCCCCATTTCTCATGTCTTTTTCCCTTAAAGTATTTGAAAAGGGAAAGAACCAGAAAGGAGACATAATATGAACCATGGAATACACACAACCTATAATAATACTGTTCCTACAGCATCTCTTGCAGACAGCTTTTCCATAAATACAACAGTATGTTCAAACATAAGGCAAACAGACACTGGAGGCCACTGAAAAGCCCATTTGTGTACCTCCCTTTAAGAAGTAAACGTCCAATTTCATTTAAGTGCTATAAAAGTAATCCTAACACATAATATTGTTAAGAATTATATTTTTTAAAGCTTTTGTTTTCCTTCTCGTTTTTCTAACAATCTGTTCAGAGGATTAACACTTTTCTGCTGAAAGTAATTTTTATTATTATTTCCAGAGAGACACTATTTACTACAGCTGATTGAGCTGGTGCTTTGCAGTCTGTTACTTAGTATAGCAGCCACTGTTTTTAGAATCCTTAAAACAGTACAATTCCCAAGGCAGACTTGTCAGAAAGCTGTAAACAAATAATTTTCCAAGATTTATTGGCAATAAAAAAAGTCATCGCTAGTCCTTTAGGATTTATATTTCTCTGCCAAATTAGAATTTTGGAAACTGTGGAATCTGCTTCCAAATTAATACTCTGGAACAGTTTGAAAGCTTGCCTCTGAGGAAGAGTCATAATCTATTTCCAACCCAGACTCATCAGAATTTGGGAGAAAACTAGGATAGGAGTTTAACTCTGCAGGCTCCTGCATGTTAGCAGAAGCATTTTGCATAGCTGATTGCATGAAGCAGGATGATTCCCAGAGCCAGGTGTCAAGGTCAGCAGAAGAATGAGGCATTTTAAGGTGGCAGTATGAAGAATGAAATTCCATAGCAGATGGGATCGTTTGACATTTCCTTAGTGATGCAAAGCTGCCTTTCCTGTTTAAAAAAAGAAAACAGGAAACATGATAATTAGCGCTTCATTACTGTTTCATTGCTGTTCATATATCTGACAAGGAATCTTCATGTGAGGTAGAACACTAGAGGAAAACTTAATTATAAATGTATTTAGTGGGTTAGGATATGGGACAACAGGAAGAAAACTTGAAACAATCATATGTAGAAGAGGGGGTACACAGTCATTATGTGTTGCCCTCAGAATGAAGTACAAAATAGTTACATTAAAGTCACATCTGATGAGCTCAGAAGGGCAGGCCCACTTTGTACATTACCTCTTAAATAATGCTGATGTCCCCCCAGCTATCCACTTAGAGTATGTTTCAGTTTTCCAACCACAGCACTAACTGAACATTAACAGGAATAGTCTCAGTGTTCATAATCTGAGTAACAAATATAGCTGTTCAACTCCCTAGATGCTGTATCTGCATGCTGCTTTACAACCAGGTAACTATCACCAAGCTGAGCAGCTGGAATAGAACATTCCTACACTCCAAAACAGCACCAGAATCACCAGGTTAGTGGTGATGAGAAACTAAAGAGTTTCTCACTAATATCTATTCTAAATCTGCCCTCTTTCAGCCTGAAACTGTTCCCCCTTGTCCTACCACTACACGCCCTTTAAAAAGTCCCTCTCCAGCTTTTCTGCAGTCAGATCAGAGGACAAATAATTTGCAGGGGGCTAGAATTAGATTATATTTAAGGTCCCTTCTAACCCAAACCATTCAGTGATTCTGTGACTATTCTGTACTTCTAAGGGATGGAGTTTGTGAATTTGATCTTTCACAATGCCAATACAGACCCTCACCAAGTTTTTTATGAGGAGCAGTTCTCAGACAGTCCTATCAAACCTGCATTTCTGATGCCAGGACAAAAAAATAGTATCTCTCATCTTCCACCTTACTTAACTTTATTGCCATAAACAGGAACATAAAAACTCAAGAACTCTTGGCTCAAATAAAAGGATATTTTTCATTTTAATTTAAAAATGCCCTGCATATAGACCATGTCAATGCTTTAATTGAAATGACTGCTGCAGTTATTAGTCTCCAGTGCTACCACTATCTTTAGGCAGCTTTTATGAAGCAGTTAAGAATTCTGTTCACTCTTTATAGGTTTCTAGGCTGATTTCTCTTCCCCTTCTACCTCATACTCAGCAACTCCAGGAGCTGAGACAAATACCAGAAAAATTACAGTAAAATAGATATGACATCTTCTGCTTAAATCTGGATTTTGGATTTATGCTTTTTCAGACCAAATCTCAGGAGTTTTTCTATTTATAAGCATTTGTACCCCAGAGAGAGCCTCTGTTTCTCTACTTACAGCACTGCTCTGATGTGGCTGTGCAACTCTCTTCCAGCAGTCAGTCCATTTGTTCTCACGAAAAACTAACCTGATGATTGGTTGTATTCATTCTGTGAAAGCTTGCAGAGCTCCCTGGGCAAATACTACACTGCTCAGTAAAAAGTGAAAGGCATTCTTAAACTCAAACTGAGATGAGCTCACCTATTCCTCTATGCACATAATGCTACAAAATATAACAGAAGTAAAAAAGTCTTAAAGGCTAGATCTCACATGAACTTTGTAAGAGAAGCATCATGAAGCTACTTAAAACCAGGTTAGAGCAGAGGTTTCTCTTCCACAGAAACAGATTCCTAAATTTTTTCCTATTTTTCTTTTTTTACTTCTTTCCAACTATGTTTCAAGTTCACATTCAGTTTCTCAACTCTAACAGCTTACATATCCTGTCCAGACTCCTTAAGAATCCAGTCTTTCTCCCAAATGTTTTCTAGTTCCTACCTGCTACATCTGGTTTAGAATATCTTGAGCAACCTTTTCCTCCTCTTTTCCTCCCAAATGCTCCAGCTGCTGTGGAGAAGAAACAGGGTGCCTGCTCTATAACCCAACCCTGTCCCCAAAAAGCACATGCCTACCAACATGCAACATGTCTTCAGGTACAAGATGTAGCAGCCATTGATCAGTAATCAACAAGAAACACCAGAAAATATATAATGCTAAGAATTAGAAGCAGTAAGAACCATTTTGTGCTACCTTTAAGGAAGTTATTAAATCCCCGTTTGAAGAAACAAATTTAAGTACTTGAAGCTCTGACAAAAAGAGAACTTATAAAAATGCATTGTTTGCATGCAGCAGAACCCCACTTTACCTGGATATGCAGAACAGCTTGCTCTTAGCATGGGAAAAAACTGTACCAGCAATTCGACAGAACTGTTCTTGCATCCATCGAACATCAGCAGGCATGTCAGGAAACCAGTTCACTAACCTACAATCAAAACCAAAATACACTTGTTGTTTTGGAGGTAACAAATACAATCTGCATTATATTCTTATCATGTCTGACAGCCAACAAAATAGCAGCTTTCATTCTCCCCAAGTTAACTTGCCCACCAAAGCCTCCAGGTCTTCTCAGCCTCTCTAAATTTCTACCTACTCCACTCAATTCTTCTCTCCAAACTAAGAAAAAAAGCAGCACAGGCCACTGCATCTCTGACCTATGCTCATCAGTGGACAGGTATGTGTGTTCTACACCTCATGACCAATGATTGATTAGGAAGCCTGCAAAGAATTCCTGTCTGAGAACTTTGTGTGGTGGGAACTTCCTGCTCAATTTAGAGCAACGTGGGAAAGGAAGAACAAAAGAAAAGCAAAATTGAGGAACAAACAGAAGGCAGAAACACAGAGCAATATCACAAATGTAGTTTTTTCCTTATTATCCTCTTAACAAAAGTCAGCTACACCAGAGGTGAATGAAGGGCAAAAACCCACATTACATTTGTGCTGAAACTTGCTTCCTCCCCATCCACCAAAAAACAGCACAGAAGCACCACAATGAATGGCACAGAAAGAAAATACTTTACTGGAGTTCTGTGTGACTCTTTTACAGAACATTTGACTTCTCAAGTATTTTCTGAAGACATTAATGACATCTGCTGTTTAACAACTAGAATTCTCTTAAGCAAGCATAAAGTTTAGTGTTAATGGTGCACTCATATAACATCATTTAACCCTCACAAGAATTGAAAAACATAAAACTAAGCCCAGTTTCAAGAGCACAACTTTCAGTCAACCCAAACAAAACTGGTAGGAAAAGTTATATGGTGAATGAAAACTGGATTTCACTCCTGATTTCAAAAAGAAGCTAAAGCACAAGAACTACATGGATAGAGTTCAAATACCATTGCAGAATAGAATAACAGCAATAAGAAGTGTGCCCCTGGAAAACACAATTCAGGGTGCTTCTCTCAAGCAATTATGAGACAGTTAATAGTAATAAGAGCAAATTGTTTAGCAGTCTTCTTAATTTGTTTACTTATCTAGCCTTAGACTATAGAGGCTTTAGTAGGATGCATTACATGGGTAGAAATAATGGTCTTTGGACAGTTACCATTTTAACTCTAGAGAACTAGAATGCTCACAACACTAAATAAGCTCTCAATGAATACATTTCCAGAAGTATAGTAATTTTAAAATTAAAAATTCCTCACCGTAAAGCAACTGAGTAAGCAGACTCCACTGGTAGTGTATATGGTAGCATAAGATAGGATATCACCCGTATTGGAAAGAGTTTGGAGAACTGAGCATAGAATCCATTCTGTTCTTTACAAGCTTCCTGTAGTGCTTAATAAAAAGTATTTTGGAAAAATGTGTTAGACTACTTGAAAACAGCTTCAATATTTGCTCAAAGTTCGGTGAACTTCAGTCAACATTATCAAGTGTTACTGAATAAGGCTCAGATGGAAAAATCAAAGACTTCATCTCAAGGCACACTTACCATAAACCTTCTCTAAGCTATTTTAGAATAGGGGAAACAGACTCATACCACAGGGACAAAAGACACTACCCCAAACTTTTAAGCTGTAAGTCTACAAATTAATTTGAAATAAGGGCACGTAAAGTTCACCTCTCCAAAAATATGTATTTCAGATGGCATTCCTGTCTTGTTAGAGAGTTTGTTGAGAGTCTGACGTTTGAGTTCTGCACATTCCAGTTGTTACATACAGTTGTAAGAAATACCACACTTCAGGCTTTCTTTTCCTGGGTCACTGGGATTACAAATTTCACATCTTGAAAATACCAATAAGCTTCCACAAAAAAACCCAAAACTAGGTAACCTTTATAGATCAGAGAAATATCCATAGTGGTTTTAGCCTACTAACAGCTTATTAAAAAGACAGGAAAGAGAATTACAAATCTAGGATTCCATTTTAAAAATAAGGTTGTGATAAACCAATGTTTGAAACTGAGGTTAAACTTTGGTGTGAAATATATGCTTACAAAAAATACTGTGCACAAAGATTATCCAAAGCCAAATGAGAATTCAATTCACGATTCTCCAATGTTGAAAGTAGCTCCTTTCTCCTGCTTCAATCTTATTTCTGTAGCTAAATCAAAACATACGTGTTCACATTTACTGAGTTCTTAAGAAACATTTTTGGGTTGAGCTAGTCTCTAATATCACAGACAGTTACAAGATTACATAAATAGAGCACAGTTTGCCATTCAAAGTTACAGGAAACAGTCCTTTGTATGTACCTTTATGAAGTCTAGGAGGTAGACTCTGGAATATACTCTTCTCCAAAGGCCATGGATGTTGCTTCAGCTGATCATTAAGTACTTCCATTTTCAAAGTTTCTACTCTGTGACAATCCTCTGTCAACTTCTTTTGCTTCATATTGTCAATGTGTTGCACAGCCTCATGAGGGTTTCTTTTTGTGAAGGACAAGTGGATGTAAATTGAGTCTTTCAGAATACCTGAAAGAGTCAAGAGTTTCCACTTAGGCTTAATCTACAGTTCTTCAGAGTACCTGTACAGTACCTGTAGTCTGTGTGTCTGTACAAAGGCCTATTCTGAGAGAACATTATACAGCCAATGTCAAATAAACTTGCTCTTATAGTCCTACAAATGTTTAATCACATTGATCACTATTCTTTTGCAGGTTTAGATTTTACTTTAAAACAGGTTTGAAAGAAAAGGAAAAAGTGAACAATTAACTGAAACTGCACTAGAAATACTCAATCCTGTAACAAAGTTGTCTTCCAGTGAGAAAGCAAATGATTTAAAGGAGAAGAAAATTGATTTAATTTTTATCTGAAAGAAAACACCCAAAAGACATTGAACATTTTGGACATTTGACATGGTGGGTAACACATAGGTACTTTGAGGCATTCCTACAACAGGGTGGAGAAGGAAAGTGAGCAGGGTGCTATGTTGTTCTAAGATATCTGAAGTACAGATCTAAATCAACATTAGTTGCCTTGCAAAACTGATGCCAATTAAGAAATAGAACTGATAATTACCTTACAAACAAGCACTAGATAATGAGTACAAAGGGCAAAATACAAGAAAAATATTTATACTATGCTTCCAGAACATCTTTATAAAATTACTTACATTTAAAGACTACCAAATTTGACTAGAATCCATACCTACACACAACAGAACCTGTATTCTACTTACAATTACTCCTAGAAGACAAACATCAAAACAACTTTTACTATATCCATTGTATATTGAAATGTTACAGATGTGGGGAAATAAACACCTACAGTTGAAGTAACTTAAGAAGAAAGTAGATGCATAATGAATGAACTTGGAAAGGTTACAATTATCACTGATGAAGCTTGATGCAAGGCAAACTCATGACAAAGTAAGAACAGAGGTTATCACAGAACTGAGGTTATCACAGAACTGATAGCGTGAAAGAGGACAACAGCACAAAACACAGAGGACATGCAGGAAAGCCACCAAGGAAGAGCTGCAAGGAATCTCATATCTGCGTCAGATGGAAAGATGCACACAGGAAACTTGTGGGTTTGGTACAGCAACAGAACCCATCTGAGCACAGACAACCACAAATTATAGGCTTCTTGTATAGCTGGTGCTTTTAATCACCTGGTAAAATGTACAAAGCAGGACTTCCTCATTAAATATTTAATAATATTACTAAAAAAATCAAACTCTTAAGCAGAACAATGATGTTTTCTAACAGTGAAGAAAATTTTTCCAAGAAAACCTGACTATTTAGTTTTTAGTTATAACAGATCATAAGCAAAGAGCACATAAAACTACAGCTACATTACAGAACTACAGCTGGTAATCCCTGTAATAGTGTAAACACCACATTTCAGCTTCCACTACTCTGATTTGGCTCAGGACCAATTTGCTTCTGCATCCAAAGACTACAGGATCTATGTATATTTAGCACAGTGTTAGCTTCATGCTAATATTAAGTTACTGTCTTTAACTTGCTTGTCTTAAAGCAGGCAGAACACCAACATGTATTAATATAAAATGTTACTAGAAGTCTATGAGTAGAGCAACTTTCAATTCTTCCTAAGCTTATCTGGGTCCCAACAACTGCTATGTCACAAGCAGTCTATATGATTTCTAAATGAACTAAACTTACCATGATCCCTTCAAAAGCCTCAAAGACTTAGCCCCTTCTTTGCTGTATACAACCAACCCCCTCACTTTTTTTTTAAGCTTAAGACCATATCATCAATAATTATCCACAAATGTAACATACCATTCTCTTTCAAGAATTTAAGAGCATCTGAGTATCCTTGCTCACAGATCTCTCCTAGTACCTGCAAGTATAGGGTACATAAGTCAGACACATAAAAGGAGATTCAAGAGCATTTCCTTCATCAGGTCTGCAATTAACACTGCTTAGCAAAGTTTAATGGCAACTTGCTTGTGTGAAGTGTTAATTGAGAACTTCAGAAAACCATGAAGCTTTAGAACTTCTGCTAAGTTCTGAAGCACCTGGTTAGCAGGTAACATGAAAGAACTAAACTTAGTTATTAATTTACTGATGTTGATTTTGTGATAGAATCCTGTGCTAATCCTCAAATAAATAATGAAAGCCAATAGCAGTCTTGCATTTTTAGTCTGAGAGACTAAAAATAAGAAGAATGAACACAAACTGTTAAAAAAATAGGAACTACAAGAGAGCTGTCACCATAAAAGTTTATACAACTAGATGAAACACTAAGATTACTGCAGCTTTTATATGGAAATATGTCTTAGTACATTAAGGCAACGAAAAAGAACCTTAGGCTCTGGTGGAAAGAGCGCTTGCGTTAAACGGTAAAGGTTCCCCATACTGAGCTGAATGCTGGTGTTGGTCACATTCATTTCATGGAAGTTGGCAGAATTCCCCTTTGGACAGATATCACACTCCCCAGCAAAAGGTGAAACCGTGATGGTATTCTTGGATTCATAGTGAGGTAAGTTGTCACTGATTCCTCCATCCACGTAGCGCTACAAAAATAAACAGAAAAAGAAGTCTCAAAGGCCAAAACTTCCTAACTAGCAGATTTCCAATGCAAGTATTAAATAGCACTTAAGACTGTAACAGAACAGCCTCTGCCTGTGTTCCTGGGCTAAACACTTTGAGCAGCATGCTTTGTCCTCTAACGTCAGGTGAAAAAACATTCCTACTTATGGTTCCATCGACAGCATAAGACTATTCTATCTGGAATTTTGCTGTATATTTAGGAAAGAACAAGTCCATTTTAAAGATGAGAATGCTATACAACATGCAGAGAAGGAGCAGTGTTGCTGCCTCCTCCTCCTTAAAGGAAAGCACCAAACAAGGAGCTACCAGGGTACTTCTGCAGAAAGAACACAAATAAAAGAATAGCTCTACACTTCAAAGCTCAAGTTTTGTCATACCAAAATAAAAGGAACTTAAAATTACTCATTGTAATTAGAATGTTATATAAAAGCATCAATATTTAGACAGAAACAGCAAGTAAAAATGGACAGTGCTTCAGAAACCTCGTGGACAGTCATGGATAACCATTCTGCTCTGAGTGAAAGTTCAGAAGCTACTCCAGGTTGTGCTTTTGTCTCCTTTGTCTTGAATTGCTCATTTCTGTAATTTTAGTTCATCATCACCTCACACTTAAGATCGAAGAACTAAATAGCTTCACATCAGGGTAACTAATCTGTAGTTCAGCAGCAGCTGCAACTCCTCCAGTCATTCACAGCAGCAATCTTTCCAGTGTAGCCAGTTTGTTGTGACACTGGCAGAAGACCATTCCACCTTACCAGCTTTGCTGGTTTAGTGGCTCTATTTTCCTCCTTCCTAACTAGACAAGAGACACAACCTGTAGGTCCTTGTAAAATATAAAGGTAACAGAGCAGGCCTTTTAAGCAGAAGCAACCTGGATTACCAGTTTCATCTACCCTGATACTTATGCCTTGACCATTCTAAAAAGCAACTTACAAATTAGTAAGGAGGCAGCTCAGAGCAATTTATCCAAATCGCTCTTCTAAAGCAGCCTGTTCCTAACCATCATCCTTCTTGGACACTATTTAGACCTAGCAGCATGCAGCTACTGACAGACTTCCTACAGGTGTATAATGCAACCACTTCAGTGCACGTGCCATCATCACGTCCTTGTGGAAGCATCAAGAGGTTTGGCAAATGAGCACACAGCACACAGCCTTCCCACAAAATGATAAGAGAGAGGAAGTATGGATGTGAGTCACTGCTCTACTGTGGTAACTGGTTTTAATTATCGGGAGTTTCTGCCTATTTGGTCCCCCTAGTATTTTTTCAATCTGAAGCCACTGCTGTGTTTGAAAGGGGTAATAAAAAACCCCCAAACAAAATCCACCACACCCAAAAGCTTCACAACTGGCACTTAAGGATAACTTTCAAGAGGTCTAAGTCCTTGTTTTGAAGTACAAATACATGAAGCACCAAGCCAGTAAACAGGAAGATGCTATTACGTTTACATAGTTTACATTCTACTGTGGTTAAGCCCTACAGGAGTCATACCCAGCACATGCAACTCTGGCATTCTTACCACATTACAGAAAAAAATGCCTCCTAAAGATTAAAATACCAAAATAATTGAAAAGACTGGAGAGATGCAGTGATACTTTCTTTCCCCTTCCCTCAAAATAGGACCAAATAAAGCATCATTTGTATGTTTTTGTACTCTGAACTAAGCCTTTTAAAATAACATTGTTGTCTGGTGACAAGAACTGAATAGCCAGATTAGCCTGGATCCACCTAAACCTTGGATTCAGTCCAACGTCCTGTTTTCATAACACCTTTAATCTGGAAGAGTTTAAGGAGACACACAAGGTTTAGAAGGACAGATAAAGAAAAATCCCTATATAGTTCTAATAACTTTTGCTTAAATTTCAGCATAAAGAAGAAAATACATTTCATGTCTATCCTTGACCTTTCAGCACTTCCAGATTGCCTTGAGAACAGTTTGTAATCAATCACTGTTTAAGAGGTTTTGAGTCTTCTTCCATTATTCTCCCCATCTCCTTAGGTAAGGAGCACCAAAGTTGGAAGAAAAGCAAATACAAGTTAATACAAACCCCCTATAACTTGGGGGGTGTGTGTTTAGAAAACCCAGTACAGACATGAAGTATTGAGAGGTTTTATAACGAACAGAACACACTTAGGTACCAACACTTTAGCTTTAAAAAACAATCTTTCTTACACTGAATACAAGCAACAGAAGACATTAAAAGGCTTTGTTTGTATCTAACTGAACATGGAAATTTAATCCAATTTTAAAGCAGGTATACCTCCAGCAAGATCACAAAGACAATAAAGTATCTTATAAGATTTTCATTTTTTTAAATAAGTGACCCTTCCTATAAATCTGAGCAGGTGAATGAGCAACATTTTCTTCAATAAATATTTATCCTATATGGTTAAAAAGTTGTGAGCTTAGAATATCTTATTTTAATGACTGCATCAGCAAGCAAGGAATTTGAGAGAGCATGTATGTGTTTTGTAGGGTGAAGAAGAAATATACGTAACAGATCTTCTACACATTTAGTGTTTCTTTGTTTTTTTGAAAAGTTGCAACATACAGCTACAGTACTAGAAGCTATGAAGGTATTTATTTTATACAATAACTGAAAAAACACATACATTGTCTCTTAACATTTTCAGGATAGCTAGGATGATTTTTAGATCTTAACAATTGAGACTTACCACACCTCTAAATGATGGTGGAATTAGGCCACAATAAATAGGGACAAATGAACTACAGATTAAAGCCTGTAGGAAAATGAGACCATGTCAATTAAATGGTAACTGTTCTATTAAAATTATAATGTATCTCTTTAGATGTTTGCAAAAACAACCAAGCAAGCAATGGAAAAAAAAACACATGAATAAAAAGAAGGGAGGGAAAGGTATTATGCATTATTTTAAATCAGAATAAGGGTATTTCCATATTTCCTTTTAAAATATAACCACACTCCACCTACCAAAAGAGTAAGACTCCCTAAAAGAGCATTTCTAGAAATGCTAGGAAAAGTTTATAATCATTCACTCAAGTTATACATTTCCTGCATAATCAAACTAACAGGACATGTATCAGTGGTCTGGGATCATATTAAACTAGCTTTGTAACTGATACTAGGATTTTAAAGAGCTATTTTTGGCTGTTTCTTGATTACTGCTTTTATGAAAGTGACCTTAAAAAAATCTTACTAATGAAAGATTAGCTTCATTAGATACACTGAACTTTAAAGGCACTTATCCTTTTTAAGATTGATCCCTCAGATCTACTCAATAAAACAGTTTGCAGATACATTGACTGGGAAAGCCACTAAGTGAATTTAGCATAGTAAAGCCTGAATTCATATTTTAAATACTTTCAAAATCACTATATCCTAAAAAGTTTACCATGAAATTCCAATGGATGACATTACATGGATGTAACACTACAGAAATTTTCACTAGTTGCCAGAAACAAACCTACCTGGACAACTTCTTCTTTAGAGTTAAAATTAGATATCAAAGCATTTTTACCATCAGACACTCTGGTTAGTGAAATACATAGCCTGCCCGATGACAACTGGTGAGTGTTTTCAGGAAGATTTCTCATAAGTCCATCTCTTATTATCTTTATCACATTAAAAGAAGGATGAAGAGGACCAAGATTTCTCCTTCTAGCTTCTTTGGCTAATGCCAGAACATCTGCACAAGCTTGAGCTGAAAATAAAATGCATTTCATTTAAGAACAGAAGATATGTCAAAAAACAAAACACACTTCTGGTAATAAAGCATGTCTAGAGCTACAAATTTTCTGATTGCTAGCATGAAAAATCAAGAGCTTTCTGACAGCTGAAGTAACTGTTTAACAGAGTGCAGGAGCTCTCTGAGGGGTGGGGGGGAAAGTAGTCACTTTAGACTTTCAAATATAAATCCTGGTGAAGACCCAGGCACTAAGTTACTCATGTTATTTATATGTAGACTGCAAATGTAAAATACCCATATAAGATGCTTCTGTAAGAAATTATTCATTCCAGAACCATATTCTTCAAGAAAAAAATAAAGATGAGTGTCCTTTCGTAAGCACATATGCATGGACACATTCCATATGTAACATTCATACAAACCTATTGATGCAGATTTAAGGCCCACAGAATGTCTGCTGAACAAGCAGAGCACCTGGGTTCACCACAGCTAGTAACACCGGTTGGATTTTTACCAAACTTGAGGTTTCAAGGCACCATTTACCTTCATTTATATATACATATATATAGGTAACATTAAATACAAATTTATGGCAAGGAATGTCAGGAGGGAAGTTTTTGAAGCAGTGGTAAGGAATGTGGAAGAGATACCCAATGCCTGTCTCACTGGTCTCCATGTAAGTAGGTGCATTTTTACCAATATGTAAGAGATAAATAATTTTTTCTCCAATTATATCAGCATTTGGGAACTCATTCTAACCACTACACAAGACATGATTGCTCCTACAGAACACTGAACTCGTTTTAAAAACCACACACTTAGTCACAATAAGAACAGCAGCTCATCCACCTGCAATATTTTATTTGCATTTTTAATGTCCTGTTTCTCCAGGGCACACTTTGTGGAAATTACCTGATAAGCTTGTCAACTTGGTAGAGGAAAGGGGGTGGGGAGGAAGGTCAAAGTAACAGGTTAGTAACTGAATGGCACACTACAAGGTCATCTAAAAATATTTTCCAAACTTGTGTATTTTAACTTACATACACTATCTAGAATAGGTAGGCTTCGACTTACCAAGTTAAATATGAGTACTGCACTGGAAAGAACTCTGTTAAAATCTCTGAAGTTCAAATTAATTAAAAAAAAATCTTTCTACAATGTTATTCCCCCCCTACAGCAGTATCTAAACCTTTCTCATTTTTAACACAATAAACCAGGAGTATATGAACATAAGTGTATCTCTAAAAAAACTTGGAGGTATCAGACATGCTCCATTATTAGCAATAAAATTTTCCTCATTCCACCCTTCAAAGTAAAGCCTTGGGCCATGAATTCACTGATATTAGTAGCCTGACCCTATCTCCCACCTGAGAAGACTGAACAATTTAGACTCATTTTACATCAAATTAAGAAATGGCATGAGTCATGTTCTGGTAAGTGAAGAAGTTATTTCCTAAAGCAGTCATGCAGACAGTTCTAGCATTTCCTTTTTTCATGCACTCTGATATAAACCACCACCTCCCTTTTTTAAAAATACATTAATTTTGCAATGTTCAATCTTCTAAACTTCCTGAAGAGAGAAATCAGGCATGTTGCAGGAGTCTGAGATACTGAACTACCAGATCTCCACCCAGGAACACCAGTCTTAGGGCATGCAATTTCCTTTTGCAAAGTAAGTACTTTTTTTTTTTAAAACCTTATGCACCAGGCAAATAGATGGCTCTCTCTAAAAAAGAGACCAAGAGTACTGGGTGCATGGACACACAAGCAAACAAATACACAAGCTGTCACTTCTCCACCAGGTCTTGACCATATTTTTCTATCTAGCATCCTGAAAAACTGAAGCTCAAGCTGTTACCTAAGTTTGAAGCATTGCAACATCTTCACTCATTTGCACTAAGGTCTGTTTCTGCTGAAAAAAAATAAGTAATTCAGTGCCCTCCATTAACTTTGTGTTGTGTTTATTTCTCACCATAAAGAAAGGTCAGGCAAGTATCACTTTATGTACCCCATTAAAGGGCCACAAAACTGATAAACTCCAACAGTTTAGATCTGAACTAATTTCAACTTCCTTTTAGAAATAACAACCCATCCAAACAAAATTTTATTTCATAAGTTTGCCCATCTGGTCCATCTACAATAATTTTTCTACATTTGAAGTTATCTAAAGGGAAAAAAAAAAAGAAAGAAAAATTTACATATTATGTTTATTGTAATCTATTTTAAATACGAGAAGGGCTCCCAACAAAAAAGAAAAGAAAAAAATAGTTGTCTTTCCAAGAGTATTCAGTATTACTGAAGCTGTTCATTATTAATTCAACAGACTTCCAAGTGTTCCAACCTATTTTCCCCTCTCCCTTCCTTCTTCAACAGGACTAAAATACAGTTAACTCTTAGGCTGGTGTATTAAAAAATAATATCTTGTTGGAAAGGGAGAGAGTGCTATAGCTCAAGTCAGACTGTGATTTTAGGCAGACCTTAGTGCATCTGTTTTATTTTTAAAAATGCAAGAGAGCTAAAGAACTCAACATTTCTATTAAATGTGAACTGTTTCTAGTTACATTTCTATATTCCTATTTTTAATGGCTGAGTAACTATGAAATTGTTTGCCACAGAGCAAAGCCTGATGTATTTACAGCCCCTACCAAACCTGTTCTCATTAGTGGCTTACTAGAATGGAGAACCACATCACCCCCAAAACACCCCATTTGCAAGACATCTGTGGGGAAGAGCTGACAAGAGGAGTATACCTTAACTGTTCCAGTTTGGAATAGCCTGGAATGTACTTCACCCTAAGAAGAACAGTCATCTCCAAGATTCTCCCTCTAACTTCCCTCAAATTCAAAGAGGGAAACTTTTTCCTCAGTGTGTAAAAATAGACTCTTTTTCCCATTCAATGGCTAATGTTTACATTTATTCAAACTTGAAATTCTACAGACTTTCAGTCTGCCTATCCAACAGGTAACACAAACACAAATAAAGCCATTTATTTAAAACATCCATCCACAAACCTGTATGAGATTAAATATGTACATCAATTTTAGTTGAAAACCTTGCTTTTATATATATATACATACATACACACACACTTTTGTGCACACCAACAAGCACACTAATTCAGGGATGAGATCTTGAACACCTCCCAGGATGGAGGCCCCACAGCCTCTCTGGGCACCTCTAATATTTTTCCCATCCACAAGGTAATTTTCTTTTCCTTACACCTAATCAGAATTTGCCATGTTTCAGCCTGTATCTGCTGCCTCTCATCCTTCCACTGCCCAACTCTGAGAACAGCTTGGTTCTGCCTTCCCACAGTGAAACCCAACTGTGAAAGCATGTGGGACTTAAATCCACAACTGCAGAAATAACAAATACTGTGTATTAAAGTATATTGATGAAACAGAGGCATACAAGACAAACTAATGAAATACATCAACTTACTACAACACACATTGTATCTTTATAACTTATTTACAATCCTCTGCTTTCAAGCAAGTTCACAAAAAAGTAGCAGCTAAAAATGTACAGAACTAATACAGGAATACCTTTTTAGTGTGATTAATTTACAGTGGTACCTAGATTTTAGAATGTGGCTGGTTTTGAATTGTCTTCCAACACTCCCAAGTGACTTATTTTAACAAAAAAACAATTCCAGAAGAAATAGACTTGCTCATGAAATGTGTAATACCTTGGGCAGTGCTCACACACATACTACCTAGCCTATTTGTTAAAGAAAAGCAAAAATTGCAGTTGGCATATGAGAAAGTAAAGACAAGGGAATAATTTAAATCCTCAAGCTTCAATTATTAAAAAGCTAAAAATTTAAAAAACTGTCAGTAACAGTCTTTCAGATAAACATTTTTTTGTGTGTTAGAGCACTTCAAGTATTAAAAGCAGCCTCCTTAAACCAGTGACAATGGCTTAAGGCTTGAAATTGGACGTGTTCTAAAACAGTTATTGTTCTAAAAGCTGATATGAGTCTCATAATAACTCAATGTGTTATGTCAGGACACTACAGCAAAATTCAATCTAAAAGGAAGCAGTACCAGCTTATTGTTAAAGCTTTGAAGAAATTAAGCTTATGTGAGCTCAGTGGCTAAGCAGCAGGGAGAGGCATTTCAGAATATTACTCCCTTGCACGTACAGAGATTCACTGTAAATTTTAGCCAGTGAATTTTTTTCTTCAGAAGTTTAAAAGCAAACCCCAAATCCTCTCCGAAATAAGCACCCATTGTTTTCCCCTCCATCTGTAAGTATGACAAAATGTCAATTTACAAAGCCTCTTAGTTCTAAACAAGATAAGGGTAACACCAACAAAAACAATCCATGAGGAGACATGAACTAGACAAACTTTTATTCAGGGAATCTCTTTGGTTTAAAAGGATAACCATTTTCAGAGTTCTGGGTATATCATACACTTTTTAAACTGCAGTCCAGTCACTATCCTAAACACCTTGGTGTTTTCCTTGTTTCAAGCTTGTTTGAAGGTCTAACATGTCTAATTCACTAGATAAACAATAGGGCTCCCACAAGACCTAAATACTTGCCCTACTGCTATAAGTGCTTATTTCACAAGAGAGACTCTCCCTCGTTGCAAACGGATGCCTTTTATCCAGCATGAATACAAAACAAGCTTAACCCCATTCCTTAAATCACAACTAGAATCAGCGATTTTCACCGACCCACTGTTTCTAATCATACACCTGAGCGACCAAGGCAACACACACTGCGCACAGATTGAAGAGGAAAAGCAAGTTAAAGCTAACCTAAACCCTGACCTTCACTCCCTGAGCCTGACCCCAGGAAAGAAGCAGCTTTAGAGGAAGCAAGTCAGAGCCCACTGAAGCTTCCTGTGCTACAGGAAATGCACTATTTCCCAATGAAGTGCAAAGATTTTTTCCTTCAGACCGACGACGGGGCGAGCCTGCCTTGTGCCAAGGGTCTCAGCACTCAGCCCCCTCCCAGCAGTTTCGGATCCCTCTGAGGGGTTCCAAAAGGATCTAAGGGGAAGGGTCACCGAGGCCGGGAGGCACAGGA